TCGTGAGAGAGATAGGCTGTCAGTTCTCTTTATTAACTCGCTCGGGTTAAAGTGATGGGGGAATGAACCAAGGTCATCCATATAAGACTACAGGGCATGAGTTTTAATATAGAAAATTCGTTTTTAAAGGTATAATAATTTTGTGTGTTAAAACATTTTTTTAATACCCGTTAATGTTTGTGCCGGTACTAAAACTTAATTTATTTAAAGCCTACAAAGCGAAATTTTACCTGCTGCATTTATACTCTATTCGGTCTTGCTTGCAGTTATTATAAATAGCGCATTAATGGCTTACGTCCGCTCTTGCTGTTCACTCTAATGGAATATGTTGTGAATCTGCTGAATTAGTTCCTCGATACATTGCCGAATAATTTGATAGGATTATTAACGATTGCCACGAGCAAAAACAATGGAAGTTGGACTGCTGGGCTATAAAACGGCTCTACAGCTTGAAGGGTATCCACAATAAGCAAAACAAGTAGTTCTTGCCCTCATACACGAAGATTATGGGACGTTGTTTTCATATATTAAGTTAGCGTCACAAATTATCGATATGAGTTGGCAACAAATATATTTGTTGAAATAATCGAGTAATCATAAAGATAATAGTTGTTTCTAAAACTTTTGATAGTAATTGCCATTTATAGTATCTTGAATATATGAAAAAGTTGTTTTAACTATATCGGTTCTTTAACCCTTTCATCCCTCAATCCAGATATCCCCATTTCAATTATAAATAGTATATGGTGTTATTGTAACAATAAAACACTGAAAACTTTGTTTTCAAACTTCCACAAAATTTATTTTAAATATTATCACTACAGCTGTTTCGGCTGATTGCCTTTCTCAAGTGATCTATTTTGGCTTGGGTTTACAAATTTATAGTCTCTAATGAAATAGGTTGAGGAGGGAGAACTGTTTGTCTCAAGTTGGTCATTCAGAATTATATCTGTGTTTTTTAATTTGTTAATTTCCATAGATTCTAACAAAGATAGCTTAAGGCCTTTATTTTGAATGTGAAGAATTTTAAATTTGTCATTAAAAGAATGATTATGATCTAGAAGGTGAAGTGCGCATGTCGAATCTGTTTTTCTATTCTTGAAAGCCCTTTTATGTTCTGCTATTCGTTTATCAAAGTTTCTACCAGTTTGACCGATGTAAGTTTTTGGGCAGTCGCCACATTGAAGTTTGTACACACCACTATTTAAGTGTTTTTTATTTTGGCTCTTCTTTATTTTTAATATATTTGCCTAGGTTGTTATTTGTTCGGAAAGCTGGTGTTACTCCTTTCTTTTTTATGTGTTTGGCAATTTTTGTTGTTATTTTGCCTGTATATGTAATCGAGCAGAAGGTACTGGGTTTTTTCTCTGGTGGTGGAAATACTAATTTCAGGGCTTTCTTGTGTAGTTTTTGATTTAACATTTTATTAATTGTTTGTTCGTTGTATCCGTTGTTTACTGCTATTTGTTTAATTATATTTAATTCTGTCTCAAAGTTGTATTTTGACATCGGAATTTCTGTTAATCTATGTAACATACTATGATAAGCTGCCAGTTTATGTTGTGTTGGATGGGATGACGAATTGTGTATAGTGGTGTCAGTATGGGTAAGTTTATGAAATATGGAGAAGTCATGTTTGTTTTGAAGTCTGCTAATTTTTAAATCTAAAAAATTTATGGATTGATTTTGTTCTGTTTCTATTGTAAATTCAATATGACTATGAAGTGAATTAATATATGATAAAAATTGGTCGAGTTGCCTGTTAGTTCCTGTGAAACATACCAGTACGTCGTCTACGTATCTCCACTAATATAAAAACTGTTTGAATACGGGATGTTTTGAAATCTTTGTCTCTAGATGATCCATAAAAATATCGGATAACAATGGGCTTAGAGGATTACCCATTATAAGTCCTGCACTGTTATTTGTATATATTTTATTATTAAATTAAAAGTAGTCCTGGTTTATGCAAACTTCAAGAAGATGTAAAATTTCAGATGTAATTATTGGATTTGTACTATTTTGGTCTAAAAGATTTTTTACTAGAATAAAAGTTTCTGTAGGAGGGATGCTAGGAAAAAGATTTTTTACGTCAAATGAAATTAATCTGGAGTTGTTAGGTAATTGAAAATGTTGTATCTTATTAACTAGTACTAGCAACATTACTAAAATTAGCAGACTTCAAAACAAACATGACTTCTCCATATTTCATAAACTTACCCATACTAACACCACTATACACAATTCGTCATCCCATCCAACACAACATAAACTGGCAGCTTATCATAGTATGTTACATAGATTAACAGAAATTCCGATGTCAAAATACAACTTTGAGACAGAATTAAATATAATTAAACAAATAGCAGTAAACAACGGATACAACGACCAAACAATTAATAAAATGTTAAATCAAAAACTACACAAGAAAGCCCTGAAATTAGTATTTCCACCACCAGAGAAAAAACCCAGTACCTTCTGCTCGATTACATATACAGGCAAAATAACAACAAAAATTGCCAAACACATAAAAAAGAAAGGAATAACACCAGCTTTCCGAACCAATAACAACCTAGGCAAATATATTAAAAATAAAGAAGAGCCAAAATAAAAAACACTTAAATAGTGGTGTGTACAAACTTCAATGTGGCGACTGCCCAAAAACTTACATCGGTCAAACTGGTAGAAACTTTGATAAACGAATAGCAGAACATAAAAGGGCTTTCAAGAATAGAAAAACAGATTCGACATGCGCACTTCACCTTCTAGATCATAATCATTCTTTTAATGACAAATTTAAAATTCTTCACATTCAAAATAAAGGCCTTAAGCTATCTTTGTTAGAATCTATGGAAATTAACAAATTAAAAAACACAGATATAATTCTGAATGACCAACTTGAGACAAACAGTTCTCCCCTCCTCAACCTATTTCATTAGAGACTATAAATTTGTAAACCCAAGCCAAAATAGATCACTTGAGAAAGGCAATCAGCCGAAACAGCTGTAGTGATAATATTTAAAATAAATTTTGTAGAAGTTTGAAAACAAAGTTTTCAGTGTTTTATTGTTATATAAAATGAATTTCCATCAAGTAACGGTCGAATCCATCAATTATGGTATTATTGTTTGCGTATAAAATATTGGGGGAATTACTAACAGATAATAGGGATGAATTTTTAACTTAATCACGGTTAATTTTGGCCGAAAGCATGTGAATTGAAAATAAGTCGATTGTGAACGAGTTATGTGACAAAAATGAGTAACGCTTTTGCTTACATAAAAGTAGTAGACGAGTTTGTGTTTTTAGAAGACCAAATAATGAACTGTGTGTACAGGGTTTCTCATTACATTTTGACCCCCACTTAGTTTCCTTAATTTCGGAAATACAAAGAAAAGTTTCAAATAAAAGTTGTATTATTTTATCTGTACCGACCAACAGTGTAGCAACAGACCAAATTTTGTATACAGGAGTGTCCAATAAAATGCATCTTCAATATTTCAAAAGGGACACCCTGTATTTCTTTACAGTTTTGAGTAGCCCTGCATTTCCTGATTACAAATATATTATGATACGTTAAATATGACTTATAACTGTAAACATGTTTTTATAATAAGTATTTTTCTAGTAGGCAATATCCAAGGGACGCCTACGATAAAACTAGTTCCATGGCGCTCGAGATCATTCGCCGCTCAGCTGAAGGACCGGTCTGCATTCCATCCTTTTCCATACTAGTCGAGAAGGTCCCCGTCTGTTCAAAGGGACTATTTGGTGGCCATGTAATGGTGTCCTTATTGCCAATCCACACATTAAATTGATTATTTAAATATTCTTGAACGGCTACGACATTATGTGACGGTGCTCCATCTTGTTGCCATATCATACTATTTAATTGATTTTGTATATAATTTTGATTTAATAATTTATCCACTTCTGTAATGACTGTGTCCAAATATGATTCCCCAGTTAATTTATAATTATAAAACAATGGTCCAACTATTTTGTTATGAAATATTCCGCACCACACATTTATTGAATTTCTTCCTCACTTTTTTATTTGCTTAATTTTTCTTTTTTTGTTATTTTTCTGTTCCCACGAATACCTATTTCTTCAAATGCATTAGTAGCATTGTTTAGACTAGTTTCGGAATTTTCTAAAATAAAAATGTTATTATGGATTTAATCTATTACTTAAGTATTTAATTTTTACCTTCAAAGTAAAGCAAAGTATTAAGATCTTCATCATCATTTCCTTCGATAGTACGTCTCTTCAGTTGAAACATTTTTTCATTTATGACAAGACGATAATTATATAAAAATGTATTTGCAATAGGAATCTGTCGATCTGGATAAATCAGCCTATATTCTCTTCTTGCCGCTTGCTCGTTTTTATTATTTTTTACATAAATTGAGAATATATCTACTTTTTCATCTGCAGTATAATCCATTTCGGTATGAGGAATGACAGTTTATAATAAATTAATAATTGTTTTATTTTGAAATGTCAGTTGCATATGCCACTATAGATCAAAACTAATGCTATACAATGTTATATATTGTAATCAGAAAATGCAGGGCTACTCAAAACTATAAAAAATACAGGGTGTCGCATTTGAAATATTAAAGATTGGGCACTCCCTGTATACAAAATTTGGTCTGTTGCTACATTGTTGGTCGATACAGATAAAATAATACAACTTTTATTTGAAACTTTTTTTCTATTCCCGAAATTAGGAAAAATAAGTGGGGGTCAAATATAATAAAAAAGCCCGGTACAATATAACATAACGAATATTATTTTATTTGGCGGAGTTCATAATTTCACCAAAACTATGCAGCACAAATAATCAGTTAAATAATTTACATACAGGAAAATATATAACATATGTGTTTGCTGTCCTTGTTTTAGACAAAATGTATTTTTAATTCCAACTAGTTAGCCGTTTTTACAAATATACAAACTTTTATAGAACACTAAATAAAATCAAATATTGACTTACCCAGCAAATCCCACTCGCCATTCGTAATAAAACTACTCAAATCACCCCCATCGTCATCTTGCAATTGAAGGTCCAGCTGGGGACAAAATAAGAATTAGAATCGGAATCAATAATAGCCATATTTGCTTACAACTAAATCATAACTTCAGGGTCTGCATATATTTTGTTTTAAACAAGATTCGTGTATAGAGAAGAAATTAGGCCATCTAAAATGATATTTAAAAAGCAAATGTTTTTTGTATATATATATATATATATATATAATATATATATATATATATATATATATATATATATAATGAACTAGAAGTATTTGCTGACAACAAGGAAGTAAATTTTCAATATTGGGTTTGCAGCAATAAAAATGATACGTGTACTCTTTTAAATTTTTATTCCGAGCTTTCGGACATGGTTATGTCCTTCATCAGGGAGAAACTTAATGAGGTTGGATCATCAATGATTTGCTACAATGTCGCTAAAACTTATCACAGTCTGTCATATTTTTACATAAAACTTATTCCTACATTTAAAATTTTTAAAAATTGCTTTACAATCACAAACACTTACTTATTATACACACATTTCTGACATTTTTATTCTTAATTTTTTTTTTAAATTAAAATTAAAATTGATCTCGAAGAACTTTACAGTAAGAATAAAAGGGTAGAATTTGTTTGGATTACATCTCATGTAGGCATAATAGGTAATGAAAAAGCTGATCGGGAAGCCAAAGAAGCCTGCTATACGAATAAACAAGATAAAGAGCTCCCAGAAATTCCTCTTTCCGACATTAAAAACACCATCAAAGAATTTTCAATGAGAATATGGCTCGAGAGATGGAAAAAACTTGACGACAACAAACTAAAACGCATCAACCCAAATTTGTCATCAAAGGGATAATGCCACAAAAACGACGAGATCAAGTCATACAACATCGCTTAAGAATAGGACATACCAGGTTAACCCACCAGTACCTAATGAAGAAAGAACAACAAAAACTGTGCTATGTTTGTGATATTCCTCTGACAATCGAACACATTATTGTTAGTTGTCCACTCTATCACCTGGAACGACTTCAAAGTGATTTACCAAGTGATCTGAAATGTGCTCTGAACTATAGTAACTGTGATAAAGTGTCTAAGTTTCTAAAACTAAATTGTACAATCTAATATAAAAATAGACTTAAGTTATCAATTGTAAATGGTAGTTATAAGCAAACATCTAATTTTATGTACAACTTTTTCCCGCCAATAACCTTTCATGGTTGACGCGGTTTACTTAATAAAAAAAAATATGTATTTGTACCCAAAGGGAAAGCCAGTTTTAAAGCAAAAATTTAAGTTTCTCTGGAAACAATATTGGGATTTTTTCTTAATGATGGTAAACAAAATAAAGCTTTTTGATTGGACAGTTTTTTTTGAGAATGGGAGAATTTATAGTCGATGTATGAGAGAAAGTGGCAGTTGTCATTTGATTATCCAAAGAAAAGGTTGCGTATCGATATAGGGTGTTTTCGTGAGTGTTTCGTAAGTTATCAGAATTGTGGAAGGAGATTACAAGACGATAAAAAGATATCCTGGGATCTAAAGGGGGAAGTTTCTGGAATACGTAGGAAATAGTTTTGGCGGCACCAAGTTGATAGAAAGAGGTCCTTGTGTCATTGAGAAGTAGCTGAGTGTTTGGAGAAATAAATTTCAAGTGGTCATTATTGGAGAATTGAGTCAGGTGTTTCGTACAGTCGTTGCAGGAGGATTGCAGATACGAAAAGAAGATAGCCGAGGCGAATAGTGGCAGATCACATTGCTGTGGAGTGTGGACGATTCTGGTGTGGTCCAAATACAATCTACGAAGAAAAGGTCAGTGATTTTCTGTTCAGAATTGAAATTTTTTTAACTGGGAATGAATTTTGTTGACATCATTGTCGTTACCATTTTAATTCAAGAGTAGACTTCATTTGGAAAATGTTTTTATGTTTTGTTTTTGCAATAAAGTAAATATTGAAAAATCAGAAAGATAAAAAGTTTTAAAGATATTCATTAAAATTGGCTTTAAATTGGTTCTGTCTTCAAGAAGACTTAAAATATTCTTTTTGTGTAAATTTTATTGTATTCGTTTTCGCTGATTGATACGATAACGGCAAAATGTGATAATTGTTTTATTCTTCTTTAAATAAAATAAAGAATACCAATTTTTTGTAACATACTATTTTTATTATTATCCTTTTTTCTCTATCCCGATAAAGGATAACTGGGAAATCTTGGGAGCCACACAACATAGGTTAATATAAGGAGATTTTTCACCCTGAGAACAATTAAGTTATGTATTTGATTTGCTCAATTAATCAAGTAAAAAAAGTGTTAACATAACAATATATATATATATATATATATATATATATATATATATATATTTATATATATATATATATATATATATATATATATATATATATATATATATATATATATATAGTTTGAGTTTAGTTCTTGAAGCTTAATATATATTTTTTAGTGGATTTTCTTGGGCTTAGGTTCATAAAAAAAATAATTTGATACTAAGACATTTTTATATATTTTTTCGACGTTTCGGCAGGAAATCCATGCCTTTTTCAAGAAGTAATATTGACAAGCATGTAAAAATTCGGTACTAACAAGTAGATGTCACAATTAAAATAATATTAAAAACATAGGACATACCTACTAACTCCGCCTGTGGTGACTAATGGGTGGATTGAATAGCTCAGGAGTCACCATTGCCGGTCCTAAGCCCGGGTAAAGGAGGAAGGTTGGGCAGTGGGCTAACAACCCACTCCCGGAAAAACACACTGTTATGAAACCTAAACATTTGCCTCGGAACAATGGGAACTTTCGGAAACGACTAAAGCTACGAAACATGGACTATGCATTTGGAAGTTGAAATGTGAGGACGCTAAATAGACCAGGAGCTCAAACTGCACTTCTACAAGAACTAAAAAGATATAATCTTATGATCACTGCTCTTCAGGAGACAAGATGGCTGGGGAAAGGTGTCAGGGACACCAAAACGCACACAATTCTATATAGTGGCAAAGAACAAGGAATCAAAGAATGTGGAGTTGCATTTGTGGTAGATAATGATTTTAAGTCAAAAATCATAGACTTCCAGGCAGTGAATGAAAGGATATGCAAACTAAGAATTCGCACCCACTTCTTCAACCTTACTATAATAAACATCTACTGCCCAACAGATGAACAAGAGCAACATACAAAGGAAAGCTTCTACCAACAGCTGGAGATAGTATATGACAACGCGCCAAAAAATGAAATTAAGGTTATAATGGGTGATATGAATGCCAAAATAGGCAAGGAACCGCAGTTCTATGGCACAACAGGAAAACACTCACTGCACAATGAAACAAGCGAGAATGGGGAGTTTTTGATAAATTTTGCCACCAGTAAAAACATGGTTATAAACTCCACATGCTTCCCACATAAAGACATACACAAAATGACGTGGATCTCACCAGATGGAACCACAACCAATCAAATTGACCATGTGATGATAGACAAAAGGGCAGCCAGTAGTATCTCTGATGTGAGAACACGACGAGGAGCATGCTGTGGATCAGACCATCTTTTACTGCAAACCAAATTTAGGTGCAGAGTTAACAGAGAAAAAAACGAAAGACAACAAAGAACAAACAAACTAGACCTGGAAAAACTGAAGACTCAGGAATGTAGAGAGAAGTTCGAGCAAGAAGTCACAAATGAGCTAAGGACACAAGAACTGCACTCCATAGAGAGCAAATGGAATAATATCAAAACAGCAGTGCTGACAGCAGCAGCGTCCACCGTGGGAAACAAGAAAAGAAGAGAGAGGAACATGGTTTGATGACGAGTGCAGGCAAGCGATAGAAGAAAGAAACGAAGCGCACAAAATGTACATAACAAGAAGAACACGGGAAAGACGAACATTATTTGAAGTCGCAAGACGGAAAGCAGACAAGATATACAGAAACAAAAAGAGAGCTTATGAAAATGGACAAATAGAAGAAATTTAACAAAATTTCAAAAAAAAAAACGAAATTAGAGGAGCTTACGAATACCTAAAAAAGATAAAAAGTGGATATAAACCTCAAACAAGCTAGGCAAAGATGAAAGTGGGCAAATAATCAGTGACCAACAGAAAGTCACAGAAACCTGGAAGCATTATTTTCAGACCCTACTTGAAGTAGATATGGAAGATGAAATGGGTACGAACCATGTAGAAGAGAACGAAGTTGAAGTAGAAGCTCCAACCATAGAGGAAGTTCTCGAAGCTATTAAGGCCCAGAAAAACAATAAAGCCCCGGGAGTTGACGAGATTCCAGTAGAACTGTATAAGGTAGGTGGCAACCACCTATCAAGTCATATCCACGCGCTTATCAAAGAAATATGGCAAGAAGAGAAAATACCCGACGAATGGAAGAAAAGTATAGTATGCCCAATCTATAAAAAAGGAGACAAACTCCAATGCAAAAACTACCGTGGAATTTCTCTACTATGTACAGCGTATAAAGTCCTCACGTATATTATAAACCAGCGACTCCAAACCACTAGCAAAAAATAATACTGGAGGATATCAGACGGGCTTCAGACGGGGAAGATCGACAATGATCAAATATTTACAGTCAAGCAGGTCTTGAGCAAATCGTGGGAACACGACATTGATGTTCACAACGTGTTTGTAGACTTCAAACAGGCATACGATTCAGTCAAAAGGGACAGACTATACTATATATTGGCAGAATTAGCAATACCACATAAGCTAATTAGACTCATTAAAGCCACAATGGATGAAACTCAGGCATGTGTACGAATACAAAACAACCGGACAGACTTTTTCAAAATCTCGCAGGGACTAAAGCAGGGAGATGGGCTGGCACCAACATTGTTTAACCTGGCACTGGAGTATGCGGTTAGGCAAATGCAAACTGGACGAGAAAAACCTACTGACCAATAAAACGGTTCAACTGGCTGCCTACGCCGATGATATTAATATTATGAGTAGAACATCAACAGGAGCACAGGAAGCATACGCAGAGTTAAAAACACAAAC